CGCCTGACGGACGCGTGGCGTCACCAGTTCCCGGAGGCCACAGAGATCCCTCGCTGGGGCGAGCTGTCTAGGGCGGGAGTTGCCATCTATGATCTTGATTTTGATGCTATCCTTTCTGCCATGTATGCTATGTCTATTAGTGATGAGGGTGACTGTTACCGGTGTTTCCCGCCCGACCCGGGTATTGAGACTGCTACTCTAGGTACTGGTGAGGCTGCTGCTCTAGGTGCCAGTGAGGCTGCTGCTCTAGGTGCCAGTGCGTTTGCGTCCTCAGGTGCTGGTGAGTCTGCGCTCGCAGGTACCGCGTCGGCTTTGGCCTCCCTCACCTTCACACTTGACCCAGGGGCTTCTCAATCCTTCTTTCGAGACCGCACCACACTCACGCCGCTTGGTCGGCCGGTTGCAGTCTCCCTGGAAGACCCCTCTGGAGGTCCTGTCCTTTCTCACTTCTCCACTGTCCTCCCATGTCCGGCGGCCCCCTCTGGCACCTTGTCTGGTCTTTCCCTCCCCTCGTTCTCTACGAACTTGGTGAGTGGTGCTGACCTACAAGATGCAGGGGTTCACCAGTTTACTCCTACGAGTCAGCGGGTGACTCACTACTCGGACGCTCGCACAGGCCGACACCTGGCCACGTTTACGCGTCGGCCGGGGTCGAGCCTGTACACCCTGACCACTGAGTCTCCTCCTGTCCCTGTGTCTGGTCAGGTAGCTGCGTCGGAGAGGTGTTTGCTGCAGCGTCCAGGTCTGGTCCTGAGTCTGCCCCCTGCTCGTGTCGCCTCCTCTCTCACGAGACTCTCCTCTGGCACCACCGCCTTGGTCACCCCTCCCTGCCTCATCTCCGAGGCATGGCCTCCCGTGTCCTTGTCTCTGGTCTTCCACGGTCCCTCCCTCCCCTTCCTCCGGGGCCTGGCCCCACCTGCGTCCCCTGTGTCGAGGGGCGGCTGCGGGCTGCCCCTCACTCCTTCAGTTTCCCCCGACAGAGGCCCCGACACAGACGCTTCACATGGACGTGTGGGGCCCAGCCCGCGTGTGTGGAGAGGGTCACGAGCGCTACTTCCTGCTGGTGGTTGACGACTACTCGCGTTACACCACAGTCTTCCCCTTGCGCAGCAAAGGTGATGTCACTGAGGTGCTGATCGACTGGATCCGCGCAGCTCGTCTCCTGCTCAGGAGGAGCTTCGGCTCAGACTTTCCTGTTCTGCGTCTGCACTCATACCGAGGCAGAGAGTTCTCCTCTGGCCTTCTGCGAGCCTACTGTCGTGCGCGAGGCATCCGCCAGACCTTTACGCTTCCGGACTCTCCACAGCAAAATGGGATTGCTGAGCGCCGCATTGGCATGGTCATGGACGTCGCCCGTACGTCCATGATGCATGCGGCTGCCCCCCATTTTCTGTGGCCGTTTGCGGTTCGGTACGCGGCGCATCAGATCAACCTTCACCCCATGGTCTCCATGCCGGAAACCTCCCCAGCTGTGCTGTGGACGGGGAAGGTAGGCGATGTGTTTGCGTTCCGTGTCTGGGGATCTCGGGCGTTTGTCCGCGACTTGTCTACGGACAAGCTGTCCCCTCGTGCTGCTCCTTGCGTCTTCCTTGGCTTTCCCCCTGACGCGCCTGGGTGGCAGTTCTACCACCCCACCTCTCGTTGTGTTCTGTCCTCCCAGGACGTCACGTTTGACGAGTCGATCCCCTACTACCGCCTCTTCCCCTGCCGCACTCCGTCCCTCCCCCCGCCACCGCTCTTCCTTGTGCCAGGTCCCCCCTCCGGTAGACCCCCTCCCCCCTCACGGTCCTACCCCTTCAGGTGTGTCCTAGGTAGACACAGTCGAGCCTGTAGATGTTACTGGTGACTCTGGTGCTGCTGAGGGTGCTAAGCCTGGGGGTGCTGACTCTGGGGATGCTCAGCGTGTGGGTGATACGCCTGGGGGTGCTGAGCTTGAGGGTGCTACTACTGGGGGTGCTGAGTCTGGGGGTGCTGGGCCTTGGGGTGCTATTCCTGGGGGTACTGAGCCTGGGGGTGTTGAGTCTGGGGGTGCTACGCGTGGAGGTACTGAGCCTGGGGGTGCGGAGCCTGAGGGAGCTGGGCCTGCTGGTGCTGTGCCTGGCGGTTCTCCGGGTGCTTCGTCGTGCCGAGAGCCACTCTCTCCACACGAGTTGTGTGAGTGGTTCGCCCGGCGCTGGAGGCGAGCTGCTGGAGCTGGACGTGCTACGGGTACTGGAGGTTCTGTTGCTGCTGGGGGAGCTGGTGCGACGGGTCTTTGAGGTGCTCGTAGTGGGAGTACTGGAGCTGCTGGGCCTGTGGGTACTTCTGGAGCTGGAGCTGCTGCGGGTGTAGGCGCGGAGGCTCTTGCTGTCGGTCCTGGAGGCGGTCCTGGTGGGGGTACTATTGGTGCTGCTGGAGGTACTGGAACTGTAGCTGCTATTGGTGCTGGTGCTGCCGCTGCTGGTGCTGGTGCTGTCCCTGCTGTGTCTGGAGTCGCCGCGCGGCCTTGGCCGTACTTCGTTCCGCTCCTTCAGCAGGTTCTTGGTCTCCTGTCTTCTACTGGTCCTCCTCCTCCCTTAGAGTGTCCACAGCCTGTCCCGTCACAGTTACAGTTACAGCCGACCTCCCCACTACCTGCTCCGTCTCCCTACACTAGTCCTACTGGAGGTCTCACTGAGCGTCGTGAGCCTGCGTCTCGCCCTGCATCGCCTGTCCGTGCTGCTCGCACTAGTGGTCGCAGTTCGCGTCAGCGTCCTTCTCCTCTCCTTGGCACGCACCGGATGTCTCTGCGTCCGTCCACTGCTCCTCTGCGTGCCCCTTTGCCTTCTCCTCATGAGTCTTCTCTTCCTGCTCTTGCCGACTCGGAGTCGGAATCTCTTCGTGCTGCCAGTCCTACTGTCACGCGTCTCCTTGCTACTGTAGTCACTGACCCTTCTTTTGAGTCCACTGCTGCGTTGGCCCTAGTTGCTGAGCTCGTCGACTTTGCTCCTCGCTGTCGTCTAGACTACGCTGCTAGTCTTGTTGCTGAGTCTGAGTCTGTCTGTCCTCCGTCCGTCGGGGGTGAGTGTGCCCTTGGCACGGACGTCCTTGAGGACAGGCAGGAGGAGTTCCAGTGTTTGGCTGCTGCTTCACCTCATCTCGTGTCCGTACTGCTTACCCCTGAGGGAGACCCGGATGCACTTGACATCCCGACTCCGCGCTCTTACGCGGAGGCCGTAGAGGGTCCCTACTCCTCTCAGTGGCAGGCAGCTATGGATGCAGAGATGGCTTCCTGGAAGTCCACAAGCACCTTTGTTGACGCGGTTCACCCTTTTGGGGCGAACATCGTCAGTGGCATGTGGATCTTCAGGTTGAAGCCGCCGTCAGGTTCTCGCCCTGTCTTCAAGGCGCGGTCTATGGCTCGTGGCTTTAGTCAGCGGCAAGGAGTTGACTACATTCACACCTTCTCTCCCACCCCGAAGATGACCACTCTTCCGGTGCTGCTGCACATAGCTGCTCAGCGCGACTACGACCTTCACTCTCTTGACTTCAGCACTGCTTTCTTGCAGGCTAGCCTACACGAGGAGATCTGGCTGCGCCGCCCACCCGGCTTCACTGGGACTTTTCCTCCTGGCACCCAGTGGAGCCTCCGACGGCCAGCCTACGGTCTCCGCCAGGCACTGCTTGAGTGGCACGACACACTGAGGACTACACTTGCGGCTCTTGGGTTTGCTCCCTCTATTGCCGACCCGTCGCTGTTTCTGCGCACCGACACCTCTTTGCCGCCGTTCTACATCCTCGTGTACGTCGACGACTTGGTCTTTGATACTGCTGACACTGGTGGACTCGCCTACGTGAAGTCGGAGCTGCAGAAGAGACCCACGTGCACAGACCTGGGTGAACTGCGCAGCTACCTTGGCTTGCAGATCACCCGGGACAGAGCACGCCGCACCATTACCCCGACTCAGTCACACATGGTGCAGCAGGTCCTTCAGCGCTTCGGCTTCACGTACTCCTCGCCTCAGGCCACTCCTCTGTCTACTCGCTACTCGCTCTCAGCTCTGCCTTCGGATGAGTCCGTAGAGTCGAGTGGTCCGTATGCAGAGCTTGTTGGCTGCCTCATGTACCTGATGACCTGCACACGACCTGACCTCGCATACCCTTTTAGCATTCTTGCACGCTATGTTGCTCCTGGGAGACACAGACCAGAGCACATGGCTGCAGCGAAGAGGGTGTTGCGCTACTTGTGCAGTACGTCGGGCATGGGGCTAGTGCTTGGAGGGCAGAGTCCAGTGGTCCTCACTGGGCACGCAGACGCTTCTTGGGCTGACGACCAGGCTACGCAGCGGTCGACACAGGGTTACACCTTCAGTCTTGGTTCCGGCTCTGTTTCGTGGCGGGCTACTCGCTCGTCTTCTATTCTCGGCTCCAGTTGTGAGGCTGAGATCTACGCCGGGGCCATGGCTGCACAGGAGCTTCGCTGGCTCACCTACCTGCTGACCGACCTTGGAGAGCCGCCTCGTTCTCCTCCAGTCCTGTACGTAGACAACAAGGCCATGCTGGCCTTGTGTCGAGACCAGAGACTGGAGCACAGAACAAAGCACATTGCTCTTTGCTACTTCCTTGCTCGTGAGCTACAGCAGCGTGGACAGTTGCGGCTTGCGTACGTGGCCTCTGAGGCCAACACTGCTGATGTTTTCACCAAGGCACTTGCGCCTTGTGATCATCAGCGCTTCTGTACTCAGCTTGGTCTTGTGCCTGTCTTACCTCAGTTGCTCACTTCTTGACCTTGCTTGTACTGTCACATATATATGCTCCTGCTCTTACTTGCTTAGCCTCTTATATATATATATATGTGCTTCAGCATGTGAACTGGCCTTCTGGCCTTGAACTTGTGCTCGGAATGTGTGGTGACTTTGTGATCTACCCTGAGCTTTGCTTTGCTTTGCTTGACTGGTCTTGTGACCCCTTGTTCTCCCCCACTTTGGCTATGAGGGTGTGTCAAATTATAATGTTGTCTAGGCTTTAGTGGGGTAGCCCATATGGGGTACACATTTCTAGGGTTGCATATTTGTATCACTTTCATTCCATAGTCATTTTCATTCTCGTTCTAATTTCCTCACCTTCGGCCCCAAGTCGATAGATGGATAATGTTCGTTCTGTTTGATGTGCTTGCGTGACAGGCTCAATGATATCCTCGACACGTATCACGAGTGCAAGAGCTCATGCGATGCGCTCCACGACGCGCTCTGGCCGGCAATATGGTTCCCCGTCGAGGGGGTGCTAGAGGAGAAGTCGGCGGCGATGATGTTGGCCATGATAGGTCGCGTGTCCATGTGCGTTGCGTACGGGAAGACCGCTGTTAGCGCGTCGAAGAAGGAGGGAGACGAGGAGGAGAAGACGGCGATGGCGGCATGGGCGTTAGCGGCATCCGCCTGCGCCGTCTGGTGCTTCGTCGAGAACGACGACGCCAAGGTGGCCGATGTTGTGGAAGAAGGGAAGGCGGCTGCGCTTATAGCCGGTGCGAGCAACGAGATCGCCAAAGTATTCGAAACTGTCATGGCGGCGGTGCTGAACGCCGGGATCACCCGGGACGGCCCCCTGGGGGAGGTCGCCTTCAACGTCGCGCCAGCGCTGCAGAGTCTCGCCCTGCGGAGGGTCTATCCGGGGGGCGATGCGGGAGTCGATGCCGAGGTGGTCACTAGAGCGACGGTGGAGACCATGGCTTTCTGGGGAATGTGCCCCGTCGCCGGCCCGAAGCTCAAAAAGAGGAGTATCGCGGTGCTGTGTGACGCGCAGATGAAGGCCGATCTTGACAACAGGGGGAGGAAGGGTCAGAGGGGGGAGCAGGGGACGAAGGGGAAGAAGGGCAAGGACGGCACGGGGAAGAAGGGGAGGAAGGGCAAGGACAGCACGGCAGCGTAGTCGGCATTTGGCTGGAGTGATAGGTGGTCTGCTTGCTAGGATTCAGTGCTGTTTTTTTCGATGTCGTTTTGTTTTGAATTTCCTCTGTCGGATCTCTTTGATGCTAGTGTAGTTGTTTTTTGTGTGCGTGATTGTCGACTTAACGTAGGATGTCAGACGAACCATTCAACAACTACATGAGCCAGAACACTATGCATCCATGCACCCCGGCCTTTTGCCAACCAGCTTCTGCGTGCCGTCATGTTCATATGTCGGTGTCCAGATGCATTTTGGTGTAGGCCGTACGTGTTGTGTGGGCGACGCCGCCCGTTTGCAATGTGAGAAGCTCACAATCATGCTACATGTGGTTGTTTAAGCAATGTCAAAACGGTCATTTAAGTCGACACCATGCAAAACATGCAAAACCCCACAGTAACATGTTGCCGACAGCTTTTACGCAGTCTTCTTGCGCTTGGTCGACGTCTTGGTCGGAGGCAGCTGCCCAGCGTCCTCCCCGGCCATGTCGGCCAACGTCATCTTCATCTGCTCCTTCCAGGTGTCCGGGAACAGGTCGGCGACCCACTGTTCCGGCTTTAGCCCGCGAGCCACGAACACACTGGCGACACGAAGCTTGGAAAATTCCCTCTTGCCGAGCCCCTTGACGCCCTTGAGAAAACTGAAACGAGAATGAATGAACTATGAATGAACAGAGTACAAGTACTAACCCTAATTAGGTTGTACCCCTTATGGGCTACCCCACTAAAGCCTACACATAGTGGGGGAGAACAAGGGGTCATAAGACCAGTCAAGCAAAGCAAAGCAAAGCAAGCTCAGGGTGGATCACAAAGTCACCACACATTCCGAGCACAAGCTCAAGGCCACAAGGCCTATTCATATGCAGGAGTACATATATATAAAGGACTAGACAAGCAAGAGCAGGAGTATATATATGCAACAGAACAAGCAAGGTCAAGAGGTGAGCAAGTGAGGCAAGACAGGCACAAGATCCAGCTGCGTGCAGAAGCGCTTATGATCACAAGGCGCAAGTGCCTTGGTGAAGACATCAGCAGTGTTGGCCTCAGAGGCCACGTACGCAAGCCGCAACGGACCACGCTGCTGTAGCTCACGAGCAAGAAAGTAGCCGAGAGCAATGTGCTTTGTTCTGTGCTCCAGTCTCTGCTCTCGACACAAGGCCAGCATGGCCTTGTTGTCTACGTACAAGACTGGAAGAGAACGAGGCGACTGTCCAAGGTCGGTCAGAAGGTAGGTGAGCCAGCGAAGCTCCTGTGCAGCCATGGCCCCGGCGTAGATCTCAGCCTCAGAACTGGAGCCGAGAACAGAAGACGAGCGAGTAGCCTGCCATGAGACAGAGCCGGAACCAAGGCTGAAGATGTAACCCTGTGACGACCGCTGCGTAGCCTAGTCGTCAGCCCAAGAAGTGTCCGCGTGCCCAGTGAGGACCACTGGACTCCGCCCTCCAAGCACTAGCCCCATGCCCGACGTACTGCACAAGTAGCGCAACACCCTCTTCGCTGCAGCCATGTGCTCTGGTCGGTGTCTACCAGGAGCAACATAGCGTGCGAGAATGCTAAGAGGGTATGCAAGGTCAAGTCGTGTGCAGGTCATCAGGTACATGAGGCAGCCAACAAGCTCTGGATACGGGCCACTCGACTCTACGGACTCATCCGAAGGCAGAGCTGAGAGCGAGTGGCGAGTAGGCAGAGGAGTGGCCTGAGGCGAGGAGTACGTGAAGCCGAAGCACTAAAGGACCTGCTGCACCATGTGTGACTGAGTCAGGGTAATGGTGTGGCGTGCTCTGTCCCGGGTGATCTGCAAGCCAAGGTAGCTGCGCAGTTCACCCAGGTCTGTGCACGTGGGTCTCTTCTGCAGCTCCGACTTCACGTAGGCGAGTCCAGCAGTGTCAGCAGTGGCAAAGACCAAGTCGACGACGTACACAAGGATGTAGAACGGCGGCAGAGAGTTGTCGGTGCGCAGAAACAGCGACGGGTCGGCAGTAGAAGGAGCAAACCCAAGAGCAGCAAGCGTAGTCCTCAGTGTGTCGTGCCACTCACGTGGCGCCTGGCGGAGAGCGTTGACTGGACGCCGGAGACTCCACTGGGTACCAGGAAGGAAAGACCCAGTGAAGCCAGGTGGGCGGCGCAGCCAGATCTCCTCGTGCAGGCTGCCCTGCAAGAAAGTTGTGCTGAAGTCAAGAGAGTGCAGCTCGTAGTCACGGTGAGCAGCAACGTGCAGCAGTACCCGAAGAGTGGTCATCTTCGGGGTGGGAGAGAAGGTCTGAAAGTAGTCAACTCCCTGCCGCTGAATGAAGCCACGAGCCACGTAACGCGCCTTGAAGACAGGCGGAGAACCCGGCGGCCGCTTCACCCTGAAGATTCACATGCCACTGACGATGTTCGCCCCAGGAGGGGGGACAGCGTCAACGTAGGTGCCTGTGGACTTCCAGGAAGCCATCTTTGCATCCATAGCTGCCTGCCACTGAGAGGAGTAGGGACCCTCTATCGCCTCCGTGTAAGAGCGCGGAGTCGGGATGTCTAGTGCATCTGGGTCTCCCTCAGGGGTAAGCAGTACGGACACGAGATGGGGTGAAGCAGCTGCCAAGCACTGGAACTCCTCTTGCCTGTCCTCAAGGACTTCCGTGCCAAGGGCACACTCACCCCCGACGGACGGAGGACAGACAGACTCAGACTCGGAGACAAGACTAGCAGCGTAGTCCGGGCGACAGCGAGCAGCAAAGTCAACGAGCTCAGCAATTAGGGCAGACGCAGCAGTGGACTCGAAAGAAGGGTCAGTGACGACAGTAGTAAGGAGACGCGTGACAGTAGGACTGGCAGCACGAAGAGAGTCCGACTCCGGGTCGGCAAAAGCAGGAAGAGAGGACTCAGGAGGAGAAGGCAAAGGGGCACGCAAAGGAGCAGTGGACGGACGCAGAGACATCTTGTGCGTGCCAGGGACAGGAGGAGGACGTTGACGTGAACCACGACCACTAGCACGAGCAGCACGGACAGGCGACGCAGGGCGAGACGCAGGCTCACGATGCTTAGTAAGACCACGAGTAGGACCAGTGTAGGGAGAAGGAGCAGGCAAAGGGGAGGTAGGCGGCAACTGTAACTGTGACGAGACTGGCAGTGGACACTCTAAAGAAAGAGGAGGACCAGTAGAAGGCGGAAGACCAAGAACCTGCTGCAGGAGTGGAACGAAGTACGGTCAAAGCCGCGCGGCGACGCCAGACACAGCAGGTACAGTACTAGTACCCCCAGCAAGAGCACCCGCTCCAGCTGCACCTCCAGCAGTTCCAGAACCTCCAGTAGGACCAGGAGTACCCGCAGTAGAACCGCCAGCAGTAGTCTAAACTCCAACACCCTCAGCAGCACCAGCTCCTGTCGTACTCACAGGCCCAGCAGCTCCAGTGCTCCTAGTACGAGCACCTCCGGGACCCACGACAGCAGCACCCTCAGTAGCCGAAGAACCTCCAGCACCTGCAGCACGCCTCCAACGCCGGGCAAACCACTCGCGTAGCTCGCGTGGAGTGAGTGGCTCGCGCAGAGACGAAGCACCCGGAGAACCTCGAGGCGGAGTACCTCCAAGCTCAGAACCCCCAGGCTCAGCACCCCCAGGCGCAGCACCCCCACGCCCAGCACCCCCAGGCTCAGCAACCCCAGGCTCAGTACCCCCAGTCACAGCACCCCCAAGCTCAGCACCCCGAGGCTCAGCACCTCCCGGCTCAGTACCCCCAGGCTCAGCACTCCCAGTGTCAGCACCCCGAGGCTCAGCACCCTGAGCAGCACTAGAGTTACTAGTGACCTCGACAGGCTCGACTGCGTCTACCTGGGACACACCTGAAGGGGACGGACCCTGAGGGGGGAGGGTGTCTACCGGAGGGGGACCTGGTACAAGGAAGAGCGGCGGCGGGGGGAGGGACGGAGTGCGGTAGGGGAAGAGGCGGTAGTAGGGGACCGACTCGTCAAACGTGACGTCCTGGGAGGACAGAACACGGCGAGAGGTGGGGTGGTAGAACTGCCACCCAGACGCGTCAGGGGGGAACCCCAGGAAGACGCAAGGAGCAGCACGAGGGGACAGCTTGTCCGCAGACAAGTCGCGGACAAACACCCGAGATCCCCAGACCCGGAACGCCGACGCATCGCCAACCTTCCCCGTCCACAGCAAGGCTGGGGAGGTCTCCGGCCTGGAGACCCTAGGGTGTAGGTTGAGCTGATGCGCCGCGTACCTCACCGCAAACGGCCACAGAAAATGGGGAGCAGCCGCATGCATCATATACGTACGAGCGACGTCCATGACCATGCCAATGCGGCGCTCAGCAATCCCATTTTGCTGCGGGGAGTCCGGAAGCGTGAAGGTCTGACGGATCCCTCGTGCTCGACAGTAGGCTCTCAGAAGGTCAGAATAAAACTCTCCGCCTTTGTCCGAGTGCAGACGCAGAACAGGATAGTTCGAGCCAAAGCTCTGCCTGAGCTGGAGACGAGCTGCGCGGATCCATTCGATCAGGACCTCAGTGACATCTCCCTTGCTGCGCAAGGGGAAGACTGCGGTGTAACGCGAGTAGTCGTCAACAACGAGCAGGAAGTAGCGCTCGTGACCCTGTCCACGGACGCGGGCTGGGTCCCACACGTCCACGTGAAGCGTCTGCAACGGCGCCTCTGTCGGAGGAAACAGGGAGGAGTGGGGGGCAGCCCGCTGCCGCCCCTCAACACAGGGGACGCAGGTAGGGCCAGGCCCCGGAGGAAGGGGAGGGAGGTACTGGGGAAGACCAGAGACAAGGACACGGGAGGCCATGCCTCGGAGACGAGGCAGGGAGGGGTGACCAAGACGGTGGTGCCACAGGAGAGTCTCGTGAGATAGGTGGCGACACGAGCGGGGGGCAGACTCAGGACCAGATCTGGACGCTGCAGCAAACACCTGACCCGACGCAGCTACCTGGCCAGACGCAGTGACAGTAGGAGACTCAGTGGTCAGGGTGTAGAGGCTCGACCCCGGCCGACGCG